AAAAAAAAAAAAGGGGGGGGGTAACAGGAGGGGGGGGGGGGGGGGCGGGGTTCTGCGAGACCAGGCAGCTGGGGGAAGGGGCGTGGGATTTGAGCTCTGACCCCCCAATAAGAGGGACCTCAGCCCGGATCAGGCCTACCTGTGCAAGGGAGAGGGGGGTCTTCAGGGCCGCGGCGCCCCCTGTGTGGGGCAGGCAGCTCCCAGCACGCTGTCCCTGCTGAGACCCGCTGCCCGGCCCGTGCCCAGACCCCCCTTCTGCTCCTCCAGCTTTGCTGCTTGGTTCTTCTCATCCCACGCGGCTTCCCTCCTGACTTGCCCAGGCACCCTCTACCCCCTCCTCTTCCCCCTGGCCCCAAGAGTCTGCACCCCCACTGCTTGTTGGAGTCATGAAGTTGCACCCCCAGTTCTTTCCTCCCCCAGAGACAGAGGAATCCAAGTCTTAAGCTTTCATTTCTTGGCCCTTTTCATCCTTAAAGCTCAGCAGCGACAGGGACAATTGCTGCAGAGCCTTGGGAAGGCGAGGGGCCAGCCTCGCAGCCCGCACCTCTCCACTTCCTTCCCTCAGACCCTGGAACCCGGGCCTCCAGCCCCCTCCACCCTCAGACCCAGAAATCTGGGCCCAGGCCCCTCCCTCCCTGCTCCGCCCTCCCTGCTCCTCCCCCCCCTCTCCCAGCCCCGGCCCCAGCCCCAGGCCAGGTCACCACCTCACCCACCTGCGAAGAAGAGCCGGGAAGACAGAAGGAAAAAGACAGAAAAAAAAAGGGGGGCGGAGTCAGCTCGGGGAGCCCCCAGGATGCACCCCTCCTGGACCCCAGCTGCCCCGCCCTGGGGCTGACACTCACCCGTTGACAGCGATCTGGGGGGCGCTTTGCTGCGGGAAATAAGGCGGCAGGTCAGGGGCAGGACAGGGTGGCGGGGTGGGGGGGAGGTGTCACCCTCCCAGACCTCCCAGTCCTGACCCTGCTGTGTCACCTGGGGCAGCCTGCTGTCCCCCCAAACCTGAGCCTTACCTGCCTGCGCCGCCGCTCGTGCTGCAGCTGCTTCTCTACTGGGTCCTCCCAGGGGCGGCCCTGCGGGTCGGCGGCCGGGGGCTCCCAGCCGCTGTAGAACTCGGGGATATATGGGGGTCCCTCCTCCGGGGGCAATTCCAGCCTGCAGCCAAGACGGGCCGAGGGCTCAGTGACCCTGTTCCACCCGACTTAGCCCCGTCACTTCTCCCCTGGCCCCCGTCCCCTGTGCCCAAGCCTCACTCTAACCCAGCTATTCTCTCCTCGTCTCTTTTGGCCCAGCTCCGGCCCCGCCTCTAAGCCCCGCCCCTGACATCGATTCTATTTCTCAATACACTGATTCCAACCAATGGTCCCCCAGCCTCTGAATCCAGACCGCTTTCTAGCTGCGCGCATTCCTCGCTGGCTCTGCCCCTACCACGCGAGGATCCCTGCCTCCGAGTACAGGCTCCGCCCCCTTCCCACCCTCAGACCAAACCTTTCCTAAACCCCGCCCCTTCTATATGGCTCCGCCCCCAAGTCCCGCCCCATTCCTATAAGCCCCGCCTTTCGTTCCTGTCCCAGGATCTAACTGATGTAGTTTGAAATCTCTCCATCACACTAATTTCTGGCCTTTCCTCCAATCGGATGCTGGCATTTGTCCTAGGTCCCGCTCTTTCTTCATTGGCCACACCCTCCGGGCCGCCAATCACCACGCCCCGCCTCCCCGCCCATCAATAACCACGCCCCTGCTCACATGCCCCGCCCCTCCCGTCACCACGCCCCGCCCCCACCACCACG